TTGCTTTCTCTTATCCAAAAGCAAACCATTTATTACAAGAAATACAGATAAACAAAAAGGGAAAACATGAAACACACAAACACCCTGCCCACCTGGAGACAGTCACTACTTAACACCTGGGCATATAGCTCTCCACACCCTCTTCTAGGCATGTAAGTGTATTTTAACAGAAATAGAATTTTACCACAGGGCACGTTTATAGTTCTCCAATTCCCTCTACTTTTTACTTACTGATATATGATAAATGCCCTTTCATGGTAATGAGTTTAAATTTACCTCATTGTTTTTACACCTGCCTAGTGTTATGTTGTGTCTCTGCTAGGATTTGCCCGGCCCCCCTCTGATTGGTGTTTAGTCTGCTCCTTTCACTCTTACAAATGCACTGGATGAATGCATCTGTATGCGTGTGTGTGTGTGTGTGTGTGTGTGTGTGTGTGTATAGCAGTGTGTGTCTTTTCAAGTGTCCTGTCCTGAGGGGAGTGGGGACTGGCAGAGCACAATGGCCCTTTTCAACTCCTTGGAACAAGTGGTTTCCTTTAAGGAAGGTACTTTTCCGGAAAACATGTTATTTCAGGGTCTCCTGATTCCAGAATCCAGCCTGTCCCAGAGAGAAACACCAAGCTGCTTGCAGGGTCAGGAGTGTGGAGGAAGGGCAGGCAGAGGGGCAGGGGCTCCTGACAGATGGGTTTCCAGGCTCTTCCCTCCCTCACATGGCCTCTAGACAAGGGGGCAGGATTCTCACCTCCTCTGCACCAGGCTGAGGCCCAGCCAGTGAGTGGCGGGGGCAGCGCTGGGACAGAGCTGGGCAGAGCGGAGCAGGGTTCTCCCTCCCCTTTGTCCTGGGGTGGACCTGGGCGTGGAGAGGCACAGTCCATACCTCTGCAGGAAGGCCTTGGCTGGGCAGCCCAGGGCTGAGGTCTGTTAACCCAGCAGTCCAACCCTTGGCAGAGTTATCTGGGGTGAGGTTTCCTGGGCTGCCTGTTCGAACTGTATATGGCAAAGACCTCTTCCTTCTTCAAAGACAGATCTAGGTGGGTCACGTGTGAGCAAGGCTCTTGTACAGGGAAACCCGGGGCAAATCAGATCCCTGGTGCTCCAGCCTCTCCTTCATCCTGAAGATATGAAATGGGTCGGCTGAGACTTGCAGTCCCCATTTACAGAGGAAAAGGGTAGGTTCACTTTGTGTCTGCAGGTTCTAGCAGCGCTGGGACGCATTGGCCCAGAGCGACCCACAGCGGGGGCTCAGGTCCCTCGGCTGTAAAATGAAGATGAGGGGGTTGCTGTGAGCAAAGACAAGATGAAACGCAGAAAGCATAGTGCCTAGCACACAGTAGGAGTCCAATAAATAAGAACTAGTATTAGCAGAATGAACAGAGAATGCTGCATTTGGAGACTGAGAGATTGGGGGTTCGAGGGCAGCTCCACCCAGACTTCCAGGTGACCTTGAGCAGCCTCTTCCCTCAGCGCCACCAAGTAAACACTCCCGGCTTTGCCAGCCTCCTGGTGCCAGCCTTAGCCTCTGTCTTACACTGCCACCTCCTCCCTTGGGGATAGAGGGGCTCCGTGCTGGCCTGTGATAGAACCCCTCCCTCTTCTTACACAATGGGCTGCACTGGGAGGAATGGCAGGAGCACTTCAGGCCAACACAAACCACTGCATACTCACACACACGCCTGACAACATACACACTCACACCATACAACGCACACACACAGATGCCACACGCACGCACCGCACCCAGACCACACACATTCTCGCCCCCACACACGTAAGAAAAGCAGGACTGTAGGAGCTGCTCCTCCCTTCTCTGGGGCATCATTCCAGGCTCTCCTTGACCCCAGCTCCCCTAGACCCATCTCTGAGCAGATGCTCCTGCTTCACCAAGAAAACAGACTATCTGGCATGATGCCCTCATCTCCCTCCTTCCCCATGCGCCCCACACACAACATGAGCATCTACCCATATCCTCAAGCATCTTTCCCAGCAGCATTGCCCTGCCCGCCACCTGCCATCCAGACCTGACCCCTCGGACCCCCTCCGCGTGCTCCAGCTCCCAGCCCCACCCTTCCGTGGGTCCCTTCCTCGCTGGCGGCTGTCAGTGTCTCCCTCGGCAATCCTTCTCCTTCGGGCCTTCCATATGCTCAACCTCCCTCCCCTTCTTAAAAAGACCAGTAGTAGAGGCTTGCCTGGTGGCGCAGTGGTTGAGAGTCCGCCTGCCGATGCAGGGGACACGGGTTCGTGCCCCGGTCCGGGAAGATCCCACATGCCGCGGAGCGGCTGGGCCCATGAGCCATGGCCGCTGAGCCTGTGCGTCCGGAGCCTGTGCTCCGCAATGGGAGAGGCCACAACAGTAAGAGGCCCGCGTACCAAAAAAAAATGGGCCACAATACATCACCCTGCTTCCCTTCAGATTATCTTCAGTTGTGATCTCCTGCTGACTCAGCTCCCACTGCCTCCACCGCCCCTGCGCACGCACGCGCCCGCGCACACGCACACTACCGTGGGGCTGCTCCCTTCACTCCTCTCAAACCGTTCTCGCCAAGGTCATTGTCAACTGTCACATTGCCTAACCCAAGGCCTGGGTGCTCACCTTCGCTGGCCCCCCTGATGCTTTCAACCAACTGACCCGCCCTCTCTGAGAACCACTCCCTCCCTCGTAGGGTTGTCCGATAAAATACCAGACACCCAGTTCGATTTGAACCTCGGATAGACAACGAGTAATGTTTTAGTATAAGTGTGTCCCCAATACTGCATGGGACCTATGTATACCAAATATTATTTGTTGTCTACCTGAAATTAGAATTAACTGGATGTCCTGTATTTTTATTTGCTAGATCGGGTAACCCTACTCCCCACTTCTTGCCCCCCTCGCTCCCCACCTTCCTGCCCCTTCTCTAGCTGCTCCTCCTTGGCGCCTCCTTTTTGTCAGCCTGCTCCAGGGTGCTGGCCTTGACTGCCTGCCCTTCTCAAACTCCCTGCTTCCCTGGAACAGCCTCTCCCTCACCCTCGGCTCCACCTCCACTGTGGGCCGGCCACCCCCTGAGCCTCCAAGAACCTTCTCTCCAGCCCCTGCTGCAGGGGCCACCTCTCCCCTGTGGCAACAGCAGGTTGCAACGCTGGTGTGTGTGTGTGCGTGCGTGTGTGTGCGTGTGCGTTAGGGAAGACTGCTCCTGCCCAGCCTGACAAGGGAGGCTGCCTCTTTGTTGCCTTCATCTTCTGTTGCCCGGAAACATGCTGGCCAGATGTGGCAAGAAGTGGTTCCCTCAGGAGCTGGCTGTGGCCCAGCCTCGTCTCCTCGCGCCCACTCACGCTGAACTGCTTACTCCCTGCCCGCACGTTCTCTGAACCTCCATTCATGCCGCCATTCCCTCTGTCCCTCCCCCAAACTCTGCTTGCTGAACTGCCAACTTTTCTTCAAGTCCAACTCGAGAGCCACCTCCTCCCAGGTTTCCCTGGGTCTCCCAGCTCTCCCTCCCTTAAGCACCTGTGTTATTTGCACCCTTGTCCAGGTGACTATATTGGGAGTTCATCGAATGCTGGGACCAGGTCTGGTTGACTCCCACATTCCCTGGGCAGGGCCTGGTACACAGTCGGTGCTCAGCCAGTGTTTATTGAATGGAGGAGTGAATGACAATGAGTGAATGAGTGATGAGATGAATGAATGAATGCATGAGTAGATGAGGAAGTAAGGCTAAGTGAGTAGATGGAGTGGGTGGATGGATGGGTGGATGGGTGGGTGGGTGGATGGATGGATGGATGGGTAGATGGATGGGTGGATGGATGGGTAGATGGATGGATGGATGGATGGGTGGATGGATGGGTGGGTGGATGAGTGGGTGGATGAGCGAATGAGCAAATAAGGAGACCTCAGGGCTTGACAGACTGCCCGCCTGCACAGTGAGGCTGCCCCCCACATTGCTTGTTTTCAGAGCTGTGTGAGTCCAGCCTACAGACCTTCCCTCCACAGACCCAGGGAAGGATGTGACCACACGATACAGAGGCAAAGCTCTGGGCCTGGGGTCCTGATACTTGGGTCCAGCTGAAGATGCCCGACCTAGAACAGAGCTAACTCTGCTTGAGATCAGAGAGAGGCTGAGGCCCGCTCTTCTCTCCCCTCCCAGATCTCGCACTGCCGTCTCTGCCCACCTGGAGCTCCTGTGCCCGTTATTTCTTTGTCCCTGGACATGCTCAGCCACCTCTGACTGGTCTGCGCACCTCTGAGAACAGGCCGCACCTGAGCTCCTGTGGAGATGCACCACCCAGGACCCCTTCAAGGAAGGACTTCAGGGCCAGCCTCAGCTGCAGAGCTGCTTTGCCTGAGGTCAAACTTGGGCGGCTGGGGGGAGCACTCACAGACAGCAAAGGTGGGGGAATATTAAGGGCCTGCATCATTATTTGTCTCCTTCCTCTGTCTAATCCTGCTTCCTCCTCCTGCCCTCACACATGCTGATCCCTATAAACATCTGGCACCCCAAACTCTGTCTGGGCTTCACTTTCAGAGAACATGACCTGAACAGTTCACTCCACTCAACTGAGGACCTCCAGGTCCTCCCTGCAGCCGGTACCCTCCACATGCTCTATGAAGGCCCTGCTTGCGGGCTCTAGGGTCCAGAGTGACCAAGACGCGGTCGCCAGGAGCTCCTGTCCCTGGGCTGTGCCTCTTCCCTCCCCATGCTCACCCCACTCCACCTGCCTCCACGCCTCTCCACCAGCCTGACTCTCTCCCTGTCCCCTCACCCTTCTGCACCTCTGCAGCCCTAAGCCTCTCTCTCTGAGAGTCCTTCCTATGGCAGCCACGTGGCCAGAGTGGCCCATCCGGGCACCCTCAGAGGCCAGACCTCCTCTCAAGGTCAGTCCTGCCCCCTTCAACAGGCACGTCCTGGGAGAGTCATTCCTTCAGGGCTGGCTGGAGACACGAGTCAGGAGACTCAGAATTCTGCAGCCTTCAAACCATATGCTAAATATGGCCTGGCATTTATTTCATGGGTACAGAGAAAACAGATTTTCTATAAATAAAAACTGAACATCTATTTATTTGTGATGCAGACAAGAGCTTTGTTACATACTGTCAATATAACATAACATTTTAACTTATTCGAAATTAACTTTCAGTTCTGTCATTTGGAGTTCTATCATTTTTCTATCATTCCTGAGTGACACAGGTCACTTAGTCTCTAAGAATAGAAGTGACCTATAAGAATATAGTAATAAAGTCTCATTCAAAATATGTTTCAAAGTCTTCTTTCTGGCTTTCCTGTTAATAAAACATCTTGTACTTTCTGTGACTCTATTTTTCTCTTCTGTTTCCTTTTGTGATTCCCCAACCCTGATTCTTGGGAGATCCATAAAAGGATATGCATTTTCAATTATAAAATACATTGCCAGTTCCCAGGAAGCATCCCTTTGGTTTCAGAATTTCAGGGCTGATTTCAGGTAACGGGTAGGAGGCAAATCTCAGGGGTGGGCTCTGCAGGATGTGCACAGGCAAGTAGCAAAATGACTCAATTAGAGGAACAGATAAGTTTGTAAAACTGTCCACTGAGGGCGCTGCTTCCTCTGGTGGCAATAGAACCAGTTTCATAGGCATCCTGGGATAAATTGAGTTAACCAACACTCTGTTCACTATAAAGTCCAGTGATATTTCAGTTCACCGTGAAGCTCAGAAGAGCTGGCCCACCATACCATCCAACTCTGCCCGGTCACTCAAGCTCCGGACCTCTCCTAAGCCCCATCCTGTGGGTTGGGTCCAGCTGAGCTCTCAGGGGTCAGAGCTGACTCCCAGCTGGTCCCATCACCATGGATCTCCCAGACTGGAGGCCACGGCAAGCTGGGATGGGATGGGACAGGGTGTTTTCTGGATACAGGCAGGGAAGGACCGGAATGCCAGGCTTGAAGGAGTGGGTCAACAGAGAAGGCTTGCTGGGGGGGTAGATGAGTCTGACCACCAGCAGAGCAGATCCTGGGGGCTGGTAGGTCTCACATGAAAGTCCAGAAGTCCCGGACACCCGCCACTGGCTGGACATGGTGACCTGGCCCCGTGGAGAGAGAAGCCTCCTGGCGAAACGTGGCCACCGTGAAGCTGGGGCGTAGGCCCCCCTGAGAATCCTGGGTCCTTGAGTCACAGCTGAAACAGCAGAGGATGCAGCTGATGGCCACGGTGACCACGAATAGCACGGCCACCATTCCAATCACTGCCGTTTCCATGGCCCCGTTTGGCCACTGACCCACTGAGCAACCCGGGATGCACTCAGACCTTAGCTCCCCATCCGAAGCGAGGGGCTCTTGGTGATGGCAGGTGCCCTTGCTCCTTCAGCTGCTCTCCCGGTGGTCTTCTAAGAAGATATCGGTCTGAGGCCCTGGCTGGTGCCCCCTCTGGGCCGTTGGGTGCCCCACATGGCTCTACTCCGATCTCAGGGGGTCTCTGTCACTGTTTTCTAAGCCTCGGGCCAGGTTTCTAAGAGCCATGGGCAACTCCCCTGGCAGCTCTGGAAGAAGCACTGTCCTGAAAGATGTGAGCTCAAGACTCCCTGGATGCAGGGGGCTGGAAGGAGAAGGCAGAAGACTTTGCTCAGAGGGAGCCTCACTAACCCGGCCCTCTGATGACGCATATGGAGTTCATGAGTGTTTGTACACTCAGACAAAAGACAAAACACTCCCCGTCCTGTGGATCCGAGATGAGCCCAGGCTCCTCCCCTGGAGGAACCTTGGGCCAGTCCTTGAATCAGCCTATCTGCTGCCTCTCAAACCCCTGGCCCTGTGCTGGGGGCAGGGACGAAAGTGGGGAGGAGGCAACGGCAGCTCTGGGCCAGATGCAGGGAGTGCTGCTAGGAAACAAGTGCCCTTTCATTCGGCCTCCTTTTCTGCACGGGCTGGGAGAGTGCTGTCGAGATAAGGCAGGTCATGCTCCGGGAGGGATATCTGAGCCCTTCAGTAACTACTGTGGGCTCCTTAGTCCCCCTCCCCGGTCTTCTGCTCCAGCCTCCCCGCAGCCCTCCTCGCTGCCTGCTCGTGCTGTGAAAACTTACCCTGGGCTCCGCGAGGGACAGCTCTGGCTGTATGCAGTGCCGTGGGCTCCTGGCCCGGTGGCCACCCCGGGGGCCAGGCCATGGCACACTCATTCCCAGGGTACTGCAGCCTTGGTCCTGCCTGGGACGAGGCTCTGAGATGTCTGAGCAGCTGTGAGCACTTCCTGCATTCCTTCCTCCAATTGTGAGTGAGGGCCCAGGACCCGCACAGCTGCCGGCCCCCTTGGTGACTGCACTCACCCCACCTCACCCCCCATGCACACCCATGCCACTCCAGCCCTGCTCCCTGCCAGGGTGTCCACTTCACCGGCGCAGGGGAGGGGGTGAACCAGGCCCAGGCCATGAGTAAGTCTGCCAGAAGGGGCTCCACCCTGACTGTCGCTCTGTCACAGCCCTTCCACAGCCAACACCTCCTGAGGCCACCACCACTTCCGGAGAGCAGACTGGGTTATTAGCCTCACTTTACCCAACCTTAGAGAAAAGGTATTGTGAGAAACGATAATTCCACGTACTAGACACGGTCAGGCACTGTCTAATATCATGGTTCCAGCAACATTGCGAAGTGATATTATCTCCATTTCAGAGATAACAGGGCCCATAGTCACAGAGGTTAAATGCCCTGCCCAAGGCCTACTGCTGGTTAGTAGTGATAACTAGAGTACCAAATAGTCTAGGAGGGGCTTCCTCCCTTTCCTCTTAGTTCGATGCTCTCTCTAGGTACCACCAGTTCACAGAGCAGTTGCCTCCTTCTACAGTTTTACTGGCCAGAGTGCAAAGGCCCAGGGAGGGCCAAGGCCTAGCCCAGGGTCACACAGCCTGGGTCCTTTGCAATTTCTCCAAGGCCCAGTGAACTTTCTTTGGTACTAGTTGTAGGAAACTGCCTACACACAGAATGGGAGAGTGACAATTCCTAGTAAATGATACCCTGCTAAATCCTCTCTCTTCCCTTTTCTAAGATGACCGGACACCCACACAGAGGAGGAGCCTGGAGCCAGCGGGGGCCGTGACAGGAAGCTGGACACTTTGAATTATTTGTATTAGCTGGGGCGACCAGAAGCAGGAGACAGGAAACACGATGAGCCAATCTGTGACGCCTGTGGTTTCAGACTGAATTACCAAAATCAATCAGTCAGTTTGGGAGATGGAGGGCACCAGGGGAACTGCTTGTCCTAAGGGTTTATTCCAGGTATTTTCTCTTCTTGTGACTTTTGTAATCCTATGATAGACAGTCCCTGCCTATGAGCCCCAGACGCAATGGGGCTCCCAAAGATGTCTACCACTTAGGCACACATCTGTCCTCCCAGCATCCATCACTGTCTACTGGTCAGAAGAAAGACCACGCCCCGTACATTCCATATATATTTTTTTATTTTCTTTTGGCCTTACCACGTGGCATGTGGGATATTAATTCCCCCACTAGTGATCGAACCTGCACCCCTTACAGTGGAAGCTCAGAGTCTTAACCACTGGACCACCAGGGAAGTCCCCCATACATCCCACTTATATTAACAAGGGAAAAGGTGATGGCAGGCATCCTGGTTCTCCCAGAGGATGCTCAAAGCCACACTTAGGAAAGACAGGCCAGCCAAGGCTGACATGGGGCTCTGCAGGGGGATGGGGGGCGTGGTCCAAGCCAGCAGGCTACAGACCTCCACACACCCCCAACACTGGGGAGATAGGGTAGGAACACAAGCCCCCTCAGCAAGGCCCCAGGAGCTCAACGGCCTAATCCTTGCAGGGTCCTACTGCTATACCTGGTGTCCCTGAAGCCCCAAGCTTCTGGCAGTGGTTATTCCAAGCACATTTACTTTTCTAGAGAGCGTGAAGCTCTGGGAATCTTTCCTGACCATCTGTTGTGTGGACTGGTCCCACCCTGGGCAGTGGGGAGCACTCAAAGAGTTCTCAGTCCTATGAAGGCAGGGGCCTTTGAATCTTGCCGTAAATCTCTAGGGAAAGAGAGTGTGTTCAGTGTGCCAAGAGAAATAACGATAACAACAACAACAATAATAATAATAAATTGGAAACCCATAGGAGTGAGTAACAAATTCGTCTTGGGCAAAGACACAGAGAAGGGAAGGTGCAGGGTTTTCTGAGCCTGAGGACTGGAGCAGTGCGGATAGGACAAAAGGAACACGAGTAGGCACAAAACAGACCAGCGGGCCTTGAATGGCCAACCAGGAGGCAGAGACTTTGTTCTAAGGACAGTGAGGAGGCTACAGTGTGGGGACGCTTCACAAAGGGGCAGGGCTGGAGGTAGGCAGCCCAGAGGGCCTGCAGCAGGAGTCCAAGCTGGGGATGAGCTCAGGGCAGCCATAGGGGGAGGCGAGGGGAGGCAGGTTCAAAAGGCACCATAGACCCTGATCCACTTTCCCAAGCCTGCAGTCTAGTCCAGCTCTCAGTGTGAATTTGCCTCCCTCTCCCCCTTCCACCCCTTCCCATCCCAGCCCTCACAGAGAATCCACCAGGAAATAGAAAAGAAACAGGACATTCTGTTCCAGTGAGTCAGTCACCAGGCCCCGGGACTTTCTGGCCTGTTCTCCAGCCCCTCCCCACCACCTGGCCTGGCCCCCAAGCCTCTCCCCCTCCACTTCCCACCCTGGCTCACAGGACTTCCTTCCTCAGGGAAGGCCTCAGAACAAGATTTCCTTCCTCACTTTGGAATTCCGTCAGCTGTTCTGGGGTATTTGGGAACAGGCCTCCAGGCTTTGGCAAGAAGTTTCTGTCATCTATCCCATTTTAGGGAAGAGGAAACTGAGACTCCCTTGAGGTGAGCACTCTCCCAAGGCCACCCAGCACCACACCCTCCCTCCCAGACACAGCGCCAGCCACACCCAAGCACAGGAGGGGTCAGGCTGGCTGGAGACTCAAGGCCTGGATAAGAAACCCTGACCCAGTTACCAAAGAAACATTAATTCAGCACAGCCCATGGAAGGGGGCTTCTGCAGTTCCAGAGCGCAGTCTGCCCTACAGATGGACTGAATAGAGCCCTGGAGGTAGAGCCCAGGGGCCAGCCTGGACGGCCTCTTCCCCCTCTCTCTGTCTGGGCAGGGCTGCCTGCAAACCCTAACCTCCCTCTCATCAGAGCTCAGGCCCCAGGCCTTCTCACCTACTGTCCTCAGAGCCCTGCAGAGCCGCCAAATCTCCCCCGCTGCAGGGCCCGCACCAGGCACTTGGTCCCACCGGAGAGGAAGGTCCTGGGCGAGGCAGACATAGGGCTGGCCACTCCCTCCCTCCCACTTGAGTTACAATCAAGAGCCTCTTCACAAAAGCTTCTTAGTGGTTTTTATTTTCTTGTATTAAGGGACCATTGACTTGACTGTGCAGCCTCAAGCTACCTTCTGCAAATGAAAGGGCGTTACCAGGGTGCCTCCCAGCTACCGCCCTGGCCAGAGGCCTGGTTGTTCAGAGAGAGCAGGGTACACCTTCTGTGCATCCCCACACCCCTGTGCACCTGCACCAGACTGGCCGTCACTTCTGGTGCCCGTTGGGACTTACAGTCACAAGGTGGTGTCCGCCCCCGAAGGACCACCACCACCCCTGCTCTCAGCCCCGTCAGGGCCACCCCTGGAGCTCTTCAGTCCTCTGCCTCCGTAGCACACGGGGCACAGTAGGCGAATGAAGCCCAGGCAGGTCCCAACGTTCACCGCCGAGAGGTGCCCTTCTGCACGGGAACCTCGGGGTCCCCGCATCCTGGTGATGGTGGGGCAGGCTGCCATTCAGGCATCAGTGGCGGCCTCGCTGGGCCTGATGGGCGTGGTGAGCATGGTGGCGGGCGAGGTGATGGTGGTGATGGAGGGTCGCATGGGGCATGTGAGGCACACGGCCAGAATAACGGAAATGGTGCAAGCGTCCCAGGTGGCCCCGGCCTGAGGAGATCGGAGGCTGGGCCCACCGGACTCGGTTTCTCCTTGCAGCAGGGTGGTTCCTCTCCACGTCAGGCTCCTCCTGTCTGCAGTACAAGCAGGCGGCCAGCAGCAGCAGCAGCAGCAGCAGAGCCACAGCAGCGCCTATGATCAAGCCCACGAGGGTCGTGCTCCCCAGGAGGCCCAGCATCTGGGAGTTGACAGCGGCCTCCGCTCGGTGGCTCCTCGCTGCTTCCTCCCCTTCGGCAGCCTCTGCTCAGCCCTCACAGTCACTGGACTTTGTTTTCTCAGCTCCTGTGGGCTGGAGAGCAGCCAGGGAATGTGGGTGCAGCCTCTTTGGGCTGGAGCTGCCAGCCAAGGGGAGGCCTGGCCACTATTAGCTCTGGGGAGGCCCACAGCGAGGCTTGGTCGGGACCCAGAGGAGCTGAAAGGAGGGGCTGCGGGGTGGGGAGGGGCCAGAGGCTGGAGATAAGAGTCTAGGCCCCCAATCCTGCTGTTTGGCCAAGTGACTGGGCCAGCTCTGTCCCCTCCCTGGGCTCCCTCCTCTCTTAGAGAGAGCACAGCACATGGGTTCTCAAACCACATGACTCACTTGCCCTGTGATTGTGCACAAGTTTCCTAAACTCTCTGTGCCTCAGTTTCCTCATCTGTAAAATGGCTCATTAGAGCATATTTCCACGTAGAGTTTTCTGAGGATTCAAGGAGTTAAGATTTATAAGGCACTTAAACCAGGTCCTGACACGTTTGCCACTGATATTAAGGCAGTAGAGTTTGCACCAGTCGACTTGGGAGACCTCGTGCCATCTGAGAGTCTGCGGCTCCCTGTCCTGCAGCCCACAGAGGCCTCCTGGACTAGTCAGGTTCTATTGTGCAATTGTTCCACACTTTAGGAGCTCAGGCAGGCCCCGCAGGCAGGGTTTTATCATCCAGGGAAGCTGAACAACTGTCTCTGCGTCCTCGGTCCTACTGGATCTGGGAGCTAAGAGGGTCTGGGTGTTAGCCCAGGGCTGCAGGAGGCAGGAAGGAGGCTGCTGAGGTCAGAGAGGGCCCAGTGCCAGCCTCCTGGCTTCCAACCAACAGGCTCAACTGGCCATAAACAGCAGGCCCTCGCGCCACCCCAGCCTCCCTGCCCAGCAGTTGTGAAACGCCATTCCTGCCTGGGGGAGAATTTACAGACGGGGCAGGACCTGAGCAGTTTCGCATCCCTCTCCCCCTCCTGGTCCTGAATCCTCTGTTCATCTAGACAAGCACTTACCCATCCCACCCACATGTCCAGGGATGGGCGTCCACTATCTCCCTGGGCAGCCCCTTCTGCTGTGGGCTTGTCAGACTGTTCTCACAGCTCTTCCTCACACGTGGCAGGGCCTCCCCGAAGCCCCAGCTCTGCATCTCCATCCCGAGACCATGGATGCCCGGGGGCCCTCCACAGTGAGCCCACCTCTGTGGGACCTTGGACAAGCCCCTCCCCTGCAGCCTGTTTCCTCCTCTGGAAAAGTGCCAGGGCAAGAGGTGACCTCTGGGGACCTTCCCTCTGACCTCAATCTGAGATGAGCTCTCTCAGGGAAGCCCCAAACCCTTAAGGCAAAGCTCCTCTGGATGGAAAAGCCAAGCATTCCCTTCAACCAAACTGGGCTCTGGGGGCAGTGGGTCTAATGAGTCCTGGGGCTTTTACCCTGGGGTGGGGGGCGTGGAGGGAGGAAGCCACTTGAACTTTTAATGATGCTCAAGTGAGAACTCCCTCCTGTGGCTTCTAGAGGCCTGCGAGCCCAGCTGCCTTCCCTGGGGGCCTGTTAAGGAGGGAAGTGTGCTGGAAGGAGGAGGAGGAAGCCAAACAGAACTTTCTCCTTCTTGGGAGCTTCTCCAAGGAGACTCCCACCCCACACCAGCCACGGGAGGGGGGCAGGGCCCGGCAACTGGCAGAACTCCAGTCAGCACTAAGGGCCTCTTGGAGTCACACAGACCCAATCCTCACTGAGAGCCAGAGAAACTGAGGGAGGGGACTTGCCTAAGGTACCCCAGCCTTGTGGGCTATTCTAGACAGCAAATAATCAAGACAGCACGATTCCTGGAGTGAGGGGGGCTCCAGAGTGAGAGCTGAGATCAGCTGAGGACCATCCACAGAGATAACAGGGAAAGGGTGTGTGGATTTGGATGACTTTGGGTGGGGGCAGGGAATTGGGGGAGCTCCCCCATCCTACACACACATACACACACATTTATTTTCTTAAGTGCAGGGTCACTCCCCATCTGGACAGAAGATACAATCCCAAGGTGGGCATTTGATTTGAAGTTTTGGGCACTCGGGAAGGTGTTGAGAGCACGGTCCTCCACGACGTCACAAGTGACTGAGACCTCCTTGGAGGGCTTGCAGGACTGATGACCTTAGAGGATGTGTGGCTGTGTCTAGGGATTCCCTGCCTCAGAAAAGCTGTCCTGTGGCGTCGCTGTATTTCTCCCTTAGGGTCAGGGCTTCTGCACGCTCTACAAACAGCCTTCCAAGATAAGGGGCCAGAGTTCCAGACAATACATACGGCTGATGGGTCAAGACTTTTGGAGTTCATATCATTAGCTTCATGCCCATGCTCTCCAGGGTGCACAGACCTCTGCATGGACTTGCACACATGCACACATGTGTACACTTGTAAACCAACATTGCACTGAGAGCAAACTCATGCACCAAGAGTTGTGTGTGCACACACTTATACACAAGTGCACAAGGGCACACAAGTTCCCTACAAGCTCACAAACTTGTGCTTGTACTGGCTGCAAGTGGTTTTCGGTTGTCCCAAGACAGCAACCATTGTTTTCACTAATTGGTGGCACCACCTAGCGGTGACACTGTAAATAAATCAGTTTTGTATTCGGACCTGTCAAAAGTTATAGTTGCTGGGGCTTACCTGGTGGCGCAGTGGTTGAGAGTCAGCCTGCTGATGCAGGAGATACTTCATGTCCTGGTCGGGGAAGAATACCACGTGCCGTGGAGCGGCTCGGCCCGTGAGCCACGGCCGCTGAGCCTGCGCGTCTGGAGCCTGTGCTCCGCAACAGGAAAGACCACAACAGTGAGAAGCCCGCGTACTGCAAAAAAAAAAAAAGGAACATTTTTGTTATGTTTAAATAGAGAATCGCATGCAGAAATACAATCAAGGAGGTTTTTTCGTGGGGGGCAGAGTCAACATGGCGGACTAGGAGGACGTGGAATTCGCGTCTCCTCGCAAGTAGGGCACCTACCAGGCACTGGTGGGGGACCACTGACACCTAAGGGAATGGGAGGAACCCCCAGCAACCGGGTAGGACCTGGGCGTTGGGGGGAGTGAGGGGGTAGGAGAAGTGGAGGTGGGATGGGACCGGGGCCCCTGAGGGGCGGCTGGGGGAGGGGAAGGGATCCCATGCCCAGGGGGGAAAGGAAGGGACCATTGGGAGCACAAAGGATCAAAACGGAGCATGGCCAGCATTTCCCATGCCCACTCGGGCCCCTGGGAGCCTGCTGAGAGCCCAGGCCTGATCCTCTGCCCACCGAGGCCCCCTCCAGCCACGCGGGTCCTAAGGGAGTGGGAGGGAGAGAAGGCGGAGCAAAAGTAAAGGCCGGACCTACGGGACAGGCACCCCTGAGGGGTGGCTGGGGGAGGGGAGGAGTTCCTACACCCAGCGGGACCCACCCACGGTTAGGGGTCCAGCGGGGACAGGGGAGACCCTGTTTGGGGGCAGAGGAACGGAAGGAAACACAGCCAACACTTTCCCTGTCCACTTAGGCACCGGGGAGCCTGTTGGGCTCCCAGGCCTAATCCTCTGCCCTCGGAGCCTCCCTCCTGCTGTGCCTCTACACCCCCACCCAGGGCCCTACCTCTACACTCAGAGGTAGCCCCTCTGAGACCCCCTCCAACCATGCTGGGCCTAAACCCCACCCACACACCCTCACCCAGGGCCTTACCTCTAACTCCGGAAATCCACACTCCATAAGCCCCCTTTTCGATGTGCTTCCTCTTCCCTTCCGGGCAGGTCCTAAGCAGAGGCCCCACCCCACGCTTGAAAGTCACCCCACCCCTCGCCTAGGCCCCACCCATCCTAAACCCCGCCCCTACCTAAGTTCCACCCCACCCCCCTGCCAAAACTACACCGCCCATAGCCAAAGCTTTTTTTTTTTTTTGCGGTACGCTGGCCTCTCACTGCTGTGGCCTCTCCCATTGTGGAGCACAGGCTCCGGACGCGCAGGCTCAGCGGCCATGGCTCACGGGACCAGCCGCTCCGGGGCATGTGGGATCTTCCCGGACCGGGGCACGAACCCGTGTCCCCTGCATCGGCAGGCGGACTCTCAACCACTGTGCCACCAGGGAAGCCCAAGGCTTTTTTTTTTCTACTTTTAGGTTGGGGTTCTGTTTAACCTTGTTGCTGTTGTTGTTTATATTTTTATTTTTTCTAATAAATCTTTTATTTTTCTAATTTTATTTTATTCTTTATATTTTGTTATTGTTCTGCTCCTTTTGGCTTGTTCCCCCGTTTTTTTTTCTTTTCTCTGTTGTGGTTTTATTTTACTTTGTTGAAGTTGTTTCAATTATATTTTTATTTTTCCTAATATATTTATTATCTTTCTAATTTTACTTTTTTTTTTATTCTTTGTTATTGTACTGCTCCTTTTTTCCTTTTTCTTTTCCTTTTGTTTTTTTGCCACGCCATGCAGCTTGCAGGATCTTGGTTCCCAGGCCAGAGGTCAGGCCTGAGCTCCTGTGGTGGGAAAGCCAAGCCCAAACCGCTGGACGAACAAAGAACCTCAGACCCCAGGGAATATTAATCGGAGTGAGGCCTCCTGGAAGTCCTCATCTCGGCACCAAAACCCAGCTCTACCCAACGGCCTACAAACTCCAGTGCTGGATGGCTCAGGCCAAACAATCAGTAAGACAGGAATACAGTCCCACCATCAAAAAAAAAAAAGTGAAATGACAAAAAAATATGTTACAGACGAAGGAGCAAGGTAAAAACCTGCAAGACCAAATAAATGAGGACAAAATAGGCAACCTACCTGAAAAAGAATTCAGAGTAATGATAGTAAAGCTGATCCAAAATCTCAGAAACAGAATGGAGAAACTACAAGAAATGTTAAACAAGGATCTAGAAGAACTAAAGAACAAACAAACAGTGATGAACAACACAATTACTGAAATTAAAAATACTCTAGAAGGAATCAGTAGCAGAATAACTGAGGCAGAAGAATGGATAAGTGAGCTGGAAGATAAAATGGTGGAAATAACTGCTGGGGAGCAGAGTAAAGAAAAAAGAATGAAAAGAATTAAGGACAGTCTCAGAGACCTCTGGGACAACATTAAACGCACCAACATTCGAATTATAGGGGTCCCAGAAGCAGAAGAGAAAAATAAAGGGGCTGAGAAAATATTTGAAGAGACTATAGTCGAAAACTTCCCTAACATGGGAAAGGAAATAGTCAATCAAGTCCAGGAAGTGCAGAGAGTTGCATACAGGATAAATCCAAGGAGAAACATGCCAAGACACATATTAATCAAACTATCAAAATTTAAATACAAAGAAAGAATATTAAAAGCAGCAAGGGAAAAGCAACAAATAACATACAAGGGAATCCCCATAAGGTTAACAGCTGATCTTTCAGCAGAAACTCTGCAAGCCAGAAGGGAGTGGCAGGACATATTTAAAGTGATGAAAGGGGAAAACCTACAACCAAGATTACTCTACCCGTCAAGGATCTCATTCAGATTTGACAGAGAAATTAAAAGCTTTACAGACAAGCAAAAGTTAAGAGAATTCAGCACCACAAAACCAGCTCTACAACAAATGCAAAAGGAACTTCTCTAAAGAAGACACACAAGAGAAGAAAAAGACCCACAAAAACAAAAACAAATCAATTCAGAAAATATTAGTAGGAACATACATATTGATAATCACCTTGAATGTAAATGGATTAAATGCTCCAACCAAAAGACACAGACTGGCTGAATGGATACAAAAACAAGACCTTATATATGCTCTCTACAAGAAACCCACTTCAGACCTAGGGACACGTACAGACTGAAAGTGAGGGGATGGAAAAAGATACCCTATGTAAATGGGAATCACAAGAAAGCTGGAGTAGCAATACTCATATCAGATAAAGCAGACTTTAAAATAAAGAGTGTTACAAGAGATAATGAAGGACACTACATAATGATCAAGGGATCGATCCAAGAAGAAAACATAACAATTATAAATATTTATGCACCCAACATAGGAGCACCTCAATACATAAGGCAAATGCTAACAGCCATAAAAGGAGAAATTGACAGTAACACAATAATAGTGGGGAACTTTAACCCCCAACTTACACCAATACACAGGTAATCCAGACAGAAAATAAATAAGGAAACACAAGCTTTAAATGATACAATAGACCAATAGACTTAATTGATATTTTTAGGACATTCCACCCCAAAGCAGAAGAATACACTTTCTTCTCAAGTGCACACAGAACGTTCTCCAGAATAGATCACATCTTGGGTCACAAATCAAGCCTTGGTAAATTTAAGAAAATTTAAATCATATTGAGCATCTTTTCCAAACACAACACTATGAGATTAGAAATCAGTTACAGGAAAAAAATTGTAAAAAACACAAAAACGTGAAAGCTAAACAGTGCACTGCTAAATAACCAAGAGATCACTGAAGAAATCAAAGAGGAAATAAAAAAAATACCTAGAAACAAATGACAACAAAAACATGACAACCGAAAACCTATGGGATGCAGCAAAAGCATTTCTAAGAGGGAAGTTCATAGCAATTCAAGCTCACCTGAAGAAACAAGAAAAATCTCAAATAAACAATCTAACCTTACACCTAAAGGAACTAGAGAAAGAAGAACAAACAAAACCCAAAGTTAGTAGAAGGAAAAAACCATAAATATCAGAGCAGAAATAAATGAAATAGAAACAAAACAACAGCAAAGATCAATAAAACTAAAAGTTGGGGCTTCCCTGGTGGCACAGTGGTTGAGAGTCTGCCTGCCGATGCAGGGGACATGGGTTCGTGCCCCAGTCTGGGAGGATCCCACATGCCATGGAGCGGCTGGGCCCGTGAGCCATGGCTGCTGAGCCTGCGTGTCCGGAGCCTGTGCTCCGCAACGGGAGAGGCCATAGCAGTGAGAGACCGCGTACCACAAAAAAAAATAAAAATAAAAGTTGGTTCTTTGAGAAGATAAACAAAATTGATAAACCTTTAGCCAGACTCATCAAGAAAAAGAGGGAGAGGACTCAAATCAATAAAACTAGAAATGAAAAAGGAGAGATTACAACTGACAGTGCAGAAATACAAAAGATCATAAGAGACTACTACAAGCAACTATATGCCAATAAAATGGACAACCTGGAAGAAATGGACAAATTCTTGAAAAGGTACAACTTTCCCAGATTGAACCAGGAAGAATTAGAAAATATAAACAGACCAATCACAGGTAATGAAATTGAAACTGTAATTAAAAATCTTCCAACAAACAAAAGTCCAGGACCAGATGGCTTCACAGGTGAATTCTACCAAACATTTAGAGAAGTTAACACCTATCCTTCTCAAACTCTTCCAAAAAGTTGCAGAGGGAGGAACACTCCCAAACTCATTCTATGAGGCCACCATCACCCTGATACCAAAACCAGACAGATATCACAAAAAAAGAAAATTATAGACCAATATCACTGATGAACATAGACGCAAAAATTCTCAACAAAATACTAGCAAACAGAATTCAACAACACATTAAAAAGATCATACACCATGATCAAGTGGGAGTTATCCCAGGGATGCAAGGATTCTTCAATATATGCAAAACAATCAATGTGATACACCATATTATCAAATTGAAGAATAAAAACCATATGATCGTCTCAATAGATGCAGAAAAAGCTTTTGACAAAATTCAACACCCATTTATGATAAAAATTCTCCAGAAAGTGGGCATAGAGGGAACCTACCTCAACATAATAAAAGCCATATATGACAAACCCACAGCAAATATCATTC